TCCAATTCCAAGTTCGTCGGCATGACAGTAAATAAATCACCTGGAGAGCCGAATTGTGCGGTTGTGTGTGTGTGTGTGTTTGTGAGTGGTGTGGACCTATCAAACGAGGGCGCTGCGAGTTGAAGGCGACCGGGGGCATACAAGTGAACCCACGAAAACAAAAGTAATTCAATGAATCAACAGACATAAAACAAAGAATAGTGGAAAAACATTTAAGATATCCAATAATAAGTCGAATTTAAATATTATTTTAGTCGCGTAAAACGAATAAATTAATAATTTGTTTTATGAATATAAAACAAAATATTTTTCTAATCAATCAAGTTGATGGACATTTAATGAGTATTTTATATAATGTTTGACAAATTTTCAGTTAAATTCTTGAGATTTTTAGTCACATTAGCAACGACTAAGAAAATCATCAACATAGTTTTACCGTAAAATATTTCAGATTTGATACGCAAGTGAAATTTTTCCCTAGTGATAGTTTTATTTCTTTTTATAAAGTTTCTTGTGGTTAAATTTATAGATAAGTATTCTCATCGACATTATCATATTTAAATACCAATCCTAAACATCATACCTAGTATTGGTGGTAGATTAACCATTTCAGTAGTTATCTCTTCAACTAAATTCCTCCATAAATCATTGGTAATAATTTTTTGATACATAAATTACAGATATTATAAAACCTAATCCTAATTTAATATATAAACTTTAAAATGAAATACTACTCGCTTGAATAACGAATCCCAACTTTATTAAGTAATGTTACTTCTAGTTTTTTAAGTGTAATAAATTATAAAGTGTTCTTGTAGCACGAGTATAAAAATTAATTTTACTACACATTTTGTTACATAGATAAGTTTAGGTGTAATATGTGACAAAATCATCAATGCCAACAAGTACCAATATTTTATACGAACGCATTTAAAATATCATTATACTCTCGGAGTTGCCCGTACATCTGTTCAGTAAATAATAACAATGATATTCAACAGTGCAAGTGGATTTGTAAGCACGAGTAATAATAATTAGCTATAACGGCACTCGGTTAACAATTAAAAGTCGTTAAAAGTTTTATTAGTCATAAAGCTGTTCACACATAATTATCTTTACCTATAGTATTAAATAGTACTACGACCGAAATCGTATAATAGATAGCGACTAAATAAACGAATTACAGGACTATTAGATCGGTACTTATTAATACAACTCGGCATTTTTCATAATTTTAAATGTGTGTTAGTTATTTCAGTGAGATTCGATAGTCAATTTCAAATGAAATTATTCACCGACATTTTTTTTTTTACAAACATATTTTCTATAGTGAAAATACACCGCGCAATATCACTAGTTGAACGAAATGTGGACATTTTTTACATTGCACTTGTACATGAACGTTGATGGAACTTATCGGCGTTACACGGAGATATTTTACATTATGGGTCCGTTTCACCACAACTTGTTTGCTCTGGATGCCGATAGAGTGTGTAATAAACACTGTACAATAAATAAACAGGTAGTTTTGTTGGTTTTTTGCCGCGCGCTAATAGCAATGTAGATGTAATCGTTTAGCATAATTTACAGTTAATTATACGCTTTATTTTTGTGCAGTAGGTGGCGCGTTCAGATTTATTGTAACATGACGTGCGCACACCTCGTACACGAATAATATATTCGGTAACCGTTCTCAATTGGAAAATGCAGAGGGATTTGTGGGGCCGTACAAAAGGAAACCAATTAAACGATTGGGACGACCTCGTGTACTGCGAACAGAGTGCGGCGTTTGTGGGGTGCTGTTGGTGCAGATGTTGCGTCCGAGAAGAGCCTTCGGGGGTATAATATAATGCTGTCCGAAAGTGAATAATCTGCTGCCTGCTCTAGTGTAATATGTATGAGAACGTGTGCGCACACGGTTAATCCGCCGAGCATTCGGATTTATCCGGTCGGCCTCTCCGCTTGTCTTGGCGGCCGGTTCGCGCGCGCGGCAATAATATATGAGCGGGATAAAGCCACTTAAACAGCGAATGCTTCGGCCACAACCTCGGGCCGCCGCCATACATCAGTATTAAAAGCTCACAGGAACGGTGGCCGCAGCCGATATTTTGGGACCGAACCGGGCAATAAAATCCGACAAAAAAGATAATTTTTCAAAATACCAAACACGATTGCCGTCTGAGTCTTTTTTATGTTCTCTTTTTTTACCATATCCAAGTTAATGATGTCCAGTTGGATTTTTATAAAAAAAAGTGCATTTCTTTTTATTTTAGTAACTACAGTTGGAGACAAAGCCTATGCATGAATTATGACGTACTCTACAGTTCAGATACATACATTAGTTTTAGATTGGGAAAAAAAAAAATAAAAAATGGTAACGCAGTGGGATCGTGGCATAGTGGAACAAGTGTAGATAATATCTGACAATTAAAATATACATTTTTCGATCAATTTTTCGCGCTAATTTCATATCTGCAGTATAACATAAAAATGCGTTCATTTTTTTTAAATCAGACCGTCTTTTATAGTTGCGTAATTTTGAGATATTTGTCTAAATTTTCTAAATTATAGGATTTTTTCCAATATTTGGTGATTATAAGTTCAACTAAATATAAATCGAATTTTTTGACGTATTGATCATTTAAATCAAGTGAAAATTGAAAAATTTTATGGACAGACAAATAAAAAAGCACACCATCACAAGATTAATATACCTTCTTAGCTTCTCATCGACACTAGAAATCAACTCAATTAACCTTATTACAAAAATTGATTATAATTGGAAAATTCTATTGGTACATTCTGGTGAAAATCAAAAAAAATGTTTAAGAAATAATTCATGCGGCATCTAAAAAAATTGGCTTATTATAAACTGATAATAGATCACACAGATGGAGTCAAGAAAATAATAAATAACATAGTAAAATTATTTCACTATGTAATTGAAACCTATTATCGTATTAAACCTTATTCGACAATAAATAATTTATATACAATAGAAATGAATGAATTTCATTTTTCATATTTGTCTAAGTTATATTTTAATTAATAAAGGGGAAATTTTATTCAATTATTGAGGGTAATATCATCAACTAAATACTATATGGTCAAATTAGAGTTGAAGAAAATGAATGACATAAAATAAAAACCATTTAGAGGGTCCTTGATATTCATTGAATTTATTTAGTTTAAATGAGATAGAAATCAAATAAATTTTTAATTACATTCCAATTCAAAAAAAATTTAATTCCTCGGGAGGTATTCGAACCTCATGCCCTGAGCGTGATAGACAGAAGTATCATCGACGCCTCATTACTATTTGTTTTAATAAGGTATTTTAAAATAAAAACAAAAATTTATACAGGTTTAAAGTCAAAAAAAAAATATACCAAATGATAAGTAAAGACATCAAACATCTATATAAAAAAGAATTATATTGATATGTTCATTTTTGAATAAATATTTTTCAAAAAAAAATGTAGAGGGGAATGATCTCCTGACCAGCCTGTTCTTAATACATTAATGTAGTTTACACACTTTTTTTTAAAACACATTTAAATAAGTTTTTGTACAATAATGTAATAAATTTTTTGAAATTTTACAAAAAAAAATACAATTTGTTTTAACTTTAATGTTCGTTTTCACCACGAGGTGAAAAGTCTAGAGGTATATATAAAAATCTTTGTATTGATACATTCATTTTTTAAAAAAGTTATAGCAATATAAAATCAAAAATTTTAAATCGAGAATTTAAACATATTTTTAACTACGGCAGACATTTACACTTACAAGCTTTAATTTAATATATATAAGTATTAGTATTTCTGAAACGATTTCAAAAAATATTTCGAAAAAGTTGCCATTTTCAGTTAGATTTCTAAAAAATAATATGCCAAAGGATAGATAAATACCTAAGGTATTTTTAAAAAAATATAGTTTCTAATCATCTATTTTTTAAAAAGTTATGGCCAACTTTTAAAATTATAATTTTTTGGGGGGTTCTCTCATTTACAGGGAACGAGGAAAATTTTTTTTAATTTTTGTGAGTAATGTCTTCAACTAGAGACGACCATTGGACTTTGGACGTGTTGTTGAAAGAAACTGTTTGGTTGAGAAAAAGTGGTAACGAGACAAATATATATATATATATATATATCATATTAAAATTAATTCCCTTTCAGCTTTGAACCGAAGCTTTGAAAATGTAAAATTTATAAAAAAAAAGTAACAATGTTAATGTATCATAGTTCAAATAATTGGAAAACTTAAATTTATGAAAATTCATTTATAATCTACTATATAGAATTTTATTATTTCATTTGTCTTTTATAAATAATAGTAACTTTATACACACAAAAATGTTTGTTTCATAATTTTTCATTAAGTATATTTTTACTTAATAGTGTGATAAAATTAAGAAAAGTATTTTTATTAGTAGAATTACTAATAAAAACACTTAGTGGGGTGTCCATACAAGAGGTTACTGGGGCAGCTACCCCAAGATGCAACAAAAAAGAGGCCCATGAGTCTTTTAGAGGCGTCACATAGTCGATGAACCCGATAAAAATCGGGTAAAAATTTATGTAATGTTATTTATAATTTATATTCTTGCGTTTATGCATAGTCTTTGTTCTTTAAGCTAGACATTTATTTCAGGGTAAGCTATAAAAAAATGTATTGTTTTTACTCAATAAAAAATTTTAGGGGGGAATCAAGTATAATTAGTCTCAGTATTCTAAATTCCCTAATATGCTACTGAATATACTGTTATTAGATTAACAAATATAAATAAACATAAATATTAAAATATTCATAAATCAAGTATTTAAAAATTATTTAAAATATAATAAAATATTTTATCAAAATTGCCATCAAAATAATTACATATGAAATATAAAAATGCATATAATGATTAATATACTATACAACTAAAATAAATACAATTATGGTATCAATTAAATAATTATAAAATCTAACAAATTCTAACATTAATGGTTTACATAAAAAATACTAAAACAACATTAAAATAATTTAAAAAAATGTAATAAAATTGAACTTAATGAGAAAATAGATTATCAACTTATTAATCAATAAAAATGTTTTTTAAGGTTATTTAATGCTGAATTTATTTCCATTTTTTCTAAGACATCTTTTTTGTAAATATGCTCACGCTTAATAGACTTTTTTCGAGATGGTTTTTTGTTTGTTGAATGTAAAACTTTTGTTAAATCACATTTTGGTAAAAGATTTTTATCGATTAGATTTATGATTTTATTCCAAAGTGGTGACTCAGGAACGTTGTTAAAACCATTTGGCATTTCAAAATTTCGCGAAGCAAACCCGCTTACATATCCGCGGTCAAAAATGATGGAATAGCCTTCAGTTTTAAAGATTTCTTTCAAGGACCACGTTTGAGCTACTTCTAATACGATTTCGTCCATTTTAATACGACCTGTTTGAGTACTAACGCTTGCAATTGATTGTGGTATTTCACTTTTAATGTTCTGTAATTTTTGTCTCATTTGCTTACAGTCTACAGAACCATATTCCTAACAAATATTTATATTGATGTAAATATTAAAATAATTATAAAAAATATATTTTTTAAATAAACTCAATGACTCAGATATCTGATAGTATTTAATTATAATAAAATAGTTTGGTACTTTCAGTGAAAATTTATTCTTTATATTTTTTGGAAGTAAAAGACAAATACAAAAAGCAATTTGTCTTTCTTGAAGTTTTAGTGTATTTTTATAACAACATTATTATATTTTTAAAGTCATATTATTGAGTTATAACAGTTACCATTAGAAATTAGTGTATCAACTTTTGATAAGGTCAAGAATTTACAATCGGCCTTGAAAAATAGATAAATTTTGTCAAAATAATTTTATTTAAAAATGATTAATTGTAATATTTAATCAACGTAATAAAATAATACCTTCTTCACAATCACGGATATTTCTTTTTTGTTGATATCAACTTGCTCTTTTAATTCAGAACTCGGAGAGAACTCTAATTTGAATGCTAATAAATTAGATGTACAAACATTTTATAGTAAAATATTGGTTTGATAATAATTTAAATGCAATTTACCTTTTTTGACCCCAATGTCATATTTATTGGATGATACACTACGCTTTCTTTTATTTGCTGAAAGTTTCATTTTCAAAGGGTTCTCTGAAATATATCTTACTTTCCAATAATTGTTCTCATTTATACTGTGTTCATCGCAATCTCTGTCGGATTTTATTATTTCTTGGAGTTCTTGTTCAATGAGCAGAGAGATTTTACTCCATTTGGGTGATTCTGGTATAGAGTCGTAATCAGGCATTACATTTCTTCTTAAGGAGAAACCATGAACATAGCCACGAAAAAAAAGAGTCATTAAGCCTTTTTTTTGTGAAATTTTTTTTAAAGACCACATTTTTGCTACTTTCAGTAACTTTTTATCGATGTCATTATAACACGTTTGTGTTTCAACGCTTCTAATTAAAGGGGTTGTATCGTCAATGACAATAACCACATCTGACACAGATGAGATATTTCTTAGTTTTTGAGCCTATAAAATCAGAGTTATTTCAAGGTTATTATTATGTTTTATTTTAAGTACTTTACACCCTTAAATCTAAGTTGTTAAAAATAATTTTATAAATATAATAGTACACTATACATAATGTAAGCTATAATTTTTATATATAAGTCATATTCTAGTTTACCACATGAATATAAAATTTTTATTCCTTTTTAGATGGTTAAATCTAAGCTAAACTCAATATTTTTATGATTCAGGTAATTGAAATATACAAAAAGAGTTTAAATTATCCTAATATAGAAATGAAATACAGGCGTTTCATAACACCTGATTAACTCATAAATAATTATTTGAAAAACAAAAATAACATTTCAGATGAATTAATTTTATGTACATAAGTAATTATAATTTAAAAAATAATAATAAAACGTCATACCAATCTTTGAGATTTTCTAGTTTCCATGTTTAATTTCAATTAAATGTTAAGATAAAGTATAATATCAATTTCAGCTTATAATTAAAAATAGTCAACGATAGCTAAGAAATTAGAATATCATTAAAATTTAAATTAAAAACAAAATTCGATAATGGAGTTTGTAAAATAAAATTAGCAATCTAATAAAAATGCTGTTGAAATAAAATCCACGGATATCATCTATACTAAATGATGATAATATTTGTTAACAAAATTATATTCCTTGGATTATATTTTATAAATACTTTTGTATAATTTTTATAACACAACAATTGCATATTTAAATCTTATTTCACGTATTCCTAATAAAAATTACTTCTGGACATTGTTTATTATAAAAAATTGTTCTGATCATAAATATTAATTAATAAAGATTTTTTAAGGAGTATAAAAGTTTTCATCTTATATATCATAAATATTTTAGCCACAATTTTATAACAATTGGAATATATATGTATATAATTTCTAATTGATTACCATAAGATGACGTCCATAACTATTTGATGATGCTTAATCTTTACTTTGAATTATCTAATGTAGTATTATAAGTTTCGATTTGGAAAATTAACGTGTAACTTGTAATAATACTATAAATAGGCTGGTAATACGATTTTGAATGTTCGTATGCCTTAAAATAAATAAATCATTTACTACCACATACATTTTGTATATTCATCACGTAATTATTTTGTATTTTTTGTCAACACGCTCCCCTATTACAATATGTAATAAAGAAGTAATAGACATTTTCTATTAAGGACTCACAAATCTCTATTATACACCCAAAGAAAAACCTCAATCAAAATTGGAAGAGAAATTTTATCATGGGTTAATGATAATGTTTTATTAATACGAACAAAATTACTATTCTTATAAATAATTATTGTTCAAGACAAGAAAAAAAAATATCATATTGATAAATATATCATTGATTCAATAGTAATGATATATTTATCAAATTGAACAATGAATTTATTATATAGATCGAGGTTTTTCTCTGGGTGTAGTATATACGTTAGAGTTTTTTAATAAAAACCCAATAGAAAAACATAACAAAATCGTAAAAACTGTATTTACTTCGTATTTTTCAAAATAAGTATACATTAGTGTATAATAAATACTATACTTTCTGTAATTTTTATTTATTTAACATATCATTATTAATAATAGTAAACAACTCAAATAAATTTAAGTTTTTCTCGTATTTTAAACTTAACTACTATATTCTAAATCAAATTGTTTAAAAATACATATTCTTTAAAATAACAATTCAAATAGTTTAAAAACAAATACGAAATAAATCACATAGTTATGACAAATCCAATAAGTTTTAATTCAATTATCGTTGTTTTAAATAATTATTGTCGTCTTATATTACGTTCAAAGCAATTTTTTTTTTATTTATCACCAATAAGAAAAAAATTTATTTTGTTCAAAATTTCGAAATAGCGAATTCATAATAAAAAATATTGATTTCAACGAATTTTGAATCAACGATGAAAATTGTCGGATAAGTAATTAAGTACTTACAGAAGTAAACTAGACATCATTACAGGTTCATTCACCCACACTACTTACCCACTAAATATATTACAATACTTTGAACTCTATAAATACTTGTATTAAAATAGTAATAAACCTTAAACATTTTTTCTAAGAAAGAATCAAAAATAGCTATATTTAAATTTTGAAAAAAAAGTTATATATGTATATATATATTTTTTTGATGATAAATAATAATAAAATATACTTGGAACGTAGTCTAACAAAGCAGTAATTGTTTTTAAATAAATTTCAATGAACTGATAATTTGATTAAAATTCATTGGGTATATGACATACCCCACGAGACACGAAGATATGACATCTTCGTGACTCACTGTCTATAAATTTGTAAAAAAAAATTTAATGCACATTTTTAATATTTTATTTATAAATTTCTATTGTTACAATTAAATGTTTTAATTTCATATAGATCTTATTATGATATTCAAATAAACAAAAAAAAAAAAATATTTTTTTATTCTAAAAAAGTAGGGATATTCAAATTTTTTATTTATTTCATGAAATAAAATTATTAACATTAATTACCAAAATTTGTATACAACCAATTACATTTCCATTTTTGTGCCAAAAGTTTCTCGTGATTAAAACCTCATTTAATAAGTTTTCCATAATAGCAATCATTTCCCTTGTAAAGTAACGTTTGGCTAAAACTTATTTTTTCCAAAACATTATTATATTTTCAAATATGAATTTTATTTAAAAAAGTAAAAAATATTGAATCAAGTAAAAACACAGTAATACACTATTTATTTTATATGATGTTTGTACTCAACAGCTTTTGTTTTTTCATGAATTTATTATCAATAAATCATTAAATTCAAATATTCTGTAGACTGCGAGTTTTAAAATAAAAGATATTTCTCTGTTATTATGGTACGGTGACAATACTTTACTAAATAGCATTATTCCTTTGGTTAGTTCAAGTTTTAAGACGTATTATTCGTAATGGACAAACTTTCTTTAAGTGATTGCTGCCTATTATCATAAAAAAAGGGGTTAAATTGATTTTTTTGATTTAAGTATCATTTTGAATTAACACAGACATAAATAGTCGTAAAAACTGATTGAATTATAATTTTTATTCAAAAACGATAAAAAAAAAAACTACAAGAATTTGAATTTTTTTATCGTTTTATTTTCAACGGTAATACGGTATGTAAGATATGATCTAATGCTAAACCTAGAAAATAAATTGTATTTAGGGAACGGAGAGTGAACCAGAAGTCAACTGTAGAGAACTTAGCACTTTGTGTATATCTGCTGGCGTCATTTGAAACATAATATCGGTCTCGCCGGATGTCAGCGCACAGAATCGCGTGTGTGCAGCGAGACTTCTTTTGAATAACAGCAAAAACGTAAGAGAAATAGATAATACACTGTACTGCAGAGTATTTGTGTGTTTCTGTTGTATCAATAAAAAGAAAAAACTGAAGTTTTTCCGGTTTTTCCGTTTGGTACCGCGCATATAAATTTTACATAAAACTAATGTCTTGAAAGATTGTCATCATAGTGTCCCTATCTTCTTTCATTCACAAAATATTATTGCTCTCAGAATGAATGGATGCCTGATAAATGTTAACATCGATATCATGTGAAACTGATAAATGTCTAAATTCCGCAAATAGACTTGGAATAACATTTTATTATATCGTATACTTAATTTTGAACTCCTTAAATTATAATTTTTTTACAATTAATTAAAAAATATATACTACTTGTAAAATGTGGTTGTTAACAAATTTTATCAATTCTGTATTTTTTTTTTTTTTTGAATCTTAGATGGATACATTCCGCGATTTTTTAATTTTAATCATTGTAAATTAATTGAAAAACTATTATTAAATAACTAATAACGTTGCATTACTATCCTAAACAATTAATTGATTTTCTTTTGATATCAATTATTTCTTATAATTTTAGTCTTCAGATTCTACAATTTTTGTATGGCATTTATAATATTAGATATGAGTTTATCGTTTTTCATTATTTATCATTTGAAATAAAGTAATTTTTTAATATTATTAGGTTCATAGTAATAAATAACACAGAAAATTGATTACAATAATTTAGTATAAATTTAGTCTCATTGATAATAATTTAAGCTTTACTGTCAAATTTATCGACTTGTAGAAAAAACAATAGTCTTGTATATTTTGCATTGGCGTGGATCCTATTTATATTTCAATATAGCGATACATATGTCCCTAGAGTAATACCACACAAACCAGTCAATACCAAATAATAAATTATACAAATGTCCGATCGGCAGCGGCAGATTGTGTACTACAACTCAACTGTCGTCGTCAGTGACGGTAATGCACATGGTATTCTTTTTTTCCGTTAAATCCATTTATATATATATATATGTTAAATGTACTTAAAAAAAAAATGAATATACTGCCCAAAGCCACTCCTATTTCCGTCAAGATGAAGAAATAAAATATGTATTAAAAAAAAAAGTATGGATCCCCAACCTCTAAGCAGTCAGTGATTAATGTAGTTCAAGTTATCTGCCTAGTCGTGCGAGTTGAACACAGACAGTATTAGCCTGTTTCATTCGCACAAAATACTTTGATAATGTAGACTTTGACAAATTGGTATTTAATATTTATAGGAAAGAAAACAATTTTGTTATTTTTTATCCTAACTTGGTGTCACAAAACAGATACGCACTAATACATTAATATCTCAAATAAAATTTTAATTGAAATAAAAGAAAATTGACAAGCACTTATCAAATTGTTTTTCCTTTTTAAATTTAAAAATCAGTTATTTTTCAATAATAGTTATTGAAGAGTTATTTAACTTAAGAGTAATTATTACTCTACTGTTAAGTTTTCACGATGAAATACTTTTCAGATAATGTTAGTGATAATTTTTTGATATTTGATATCTAAGCATTAACTCTTTAAAATAATTATTTTTTGCATTACAACTTCAAACCCAAGTTTCCTGTTCCAGGATATCTTTATCAATAAAGCTTTAAATATATTTTTAAGTTGCGTAATCCTTTTAATTCAGTTGATACATAAAATATAAATTCTATTTTTTACCAAGCTTACGATGTGATAATTGTACACGTACATTTAATTTATGGGGCNAGTTGATACATAAAATATAAATTCTATTTTTTACCAAGCTTACGATGTGATAATTATACACGTACATTTAATTTATGGGGACATAATTTAAAAAACGCGCTGCATACCTATTAAACATAATTTTGTCAAATATGTTCAGGAAATTTATATCCAAATACTAAAAATAATATACACACTTTTAGTTTTTATGCATATGTGTAAGTCGTATAATTTATAAAGGTACACGATTATTTAGGCAAATTAGGGAAGGGTGTGGCTTCTAAAGCTGGCGTATGGTTAAATTTTTTTCAGTACTTTATATAGAGTAAAAGAAGCGTGTCGTATAAATTAAATGCTACTATTAACCCTTAGTGTTGTAAATCATTAATGATAAATTGATGTAATGAAAACAGAATCTGTTCTTTAAAAACCTTAAAATAGTAGCCCGGCAAACCAGATCAATGTATTTTTAATTAAATAACAGATTAGTATGCTTATTTAGTTTTGTTATCCTTAGCATAATGTATTAGGTATTGTTTCACTTAATTTATTTTGTAAACTTTTAAAAATATGGTTGGTAAAAAAATAAAATAAATAATAGTCACAGACTTTAATGACTTATTTGGTTAGTTTTTTGTTATTGTTATTTATGAGGTAATTTAAAATGTAGTTATTTGTTACATTAAATGTAAAAATTATCGTATCACGTTTTATTTGACGTTTCCAAAAGAAATTAGAAAATATTGTTTTTTTCCCTTGTCTTTTAATTTTAGGGTGCATTGAGATTCGTAGCGTGTCGAATTTTTTACTAATACATATTATCTAACGCTAATGTACCCTCTTTGTACTGTATCACTGTCCTCCATAAGTGTCCATCGCAACCATTTCTTTTGTAAGAAGGGGAGGTTCCTAAGAAGCGCTAAACCATAGGACCTTACGGGACTACAAGATACATAGTTTGTACGTGATCCGCGGTGACACTATACGTATACTACAATATTAACACCACTACCATACGTGCACAAAACTACATGTTCACAAAACAGATGGCCTGTTCATTCTTTATATTACTATAAAGTACAGTTACATGAGTAATGTGATACGATATCACCTCAGACAAACGGAACAGTCAGAAGTCCTCTTTAACATTCAAATAAATATATTCGAATCCTTTTAGTATTACAGGTTAATAATGTGGTAAATTAGAACTAATATAAATTTTTATGGTTTCGGGTGCATATTAATATTTAATGGAGATACTTCTTTGCAGTTAAGTGTGTTATTAAAAATTAATCATTATGGAAAGCTTGAAGTATTAATTTCGTTTTCTATTTAGTTTTTAAATTTTTAGCTATTTTAAAGTATAGTGAAAAATTGCTTAATTTGATTTAATCGTTTTTGAAGGAATACCACAAAGTAACATATATTTTAAACACCAAACAGAATATATTCATAGATTTACCGGTAAAAGTTTTGTCCATTAAGTAATTTAATAACAACAAGATAATAATATTGCGAGTGTAGTACACATGTGTATATGTTGTTATTGCCGGACGATATAATGTGTCGTATTTTCGTACCAGCTGCTTTTTATTTAAATTTAACGACAACCGGTAGCAATTGTATTTCGCCCGTTGCCTTATCCAAAGCAAGGTAATCGATTTCCCCGCTAGATAGTCGACAAATTGTTATTATGTATCTGATCATTGTCTTTCAATTACTTTCAACAACACTATATTTTATGTATCAACCGACCCGTAGTTTCGCTATTTATGTTTCCTTTTGTGCTTTATAAAAACAAATCTCAACCGATAAGTTACACTTATTTTGTAGAAAACACGGGGCTTGCATAATGTCAAATATATTCTAAGTTTCAAAATAAATAATTTTCTTTATTAATTATTTAACTGGTCAGATTAATGAATTATTAAATTCGACAGAATACAACTTGTATTTAAATATAGACATTAATTTATTTGAGTTGAATATTTTTATTCTAAGGAATCGATTTTATTAAAAATGTGTTTAGAAATTTAAATATGTTTTTACAGAAATATTTATGGTCTTAAGAATAATGCGTATCGAAAAATTACAATAAAAATGATACACGAGGGAGTTATCCACTTTTTTTCTTTACCATTCATACTCAACTTTAAATTTCACCCGAAGACTTCAATATAAACGATTTCCAAATGCTTTTCAAATGTCGCCATAAACTTTGAAACTTTGGTGTGTAAACGCCGCTTTCTTTCATACATACCGGAATAACGATGATTTATACAGGACGCATCCAATATTATCGGATCATGAGATCCGATATTGTGTAAAGTGGTAATAAAAGCGGTTTAGACACACCGGCATTCTGCTCCACCCTCGCAGGATCTGAAATACATACTTCAATATGAATAATTCAGAATTGACAACATTTTTTACACGTAAAACTTTACCATATCGTCTCGTGGCAAGTAACGGTCGGTATAAAGTGATCGAACTTAAAGATTTCGATTTAATGAAAACGCCATTAAGACTAGCCATGAGAGCTTATGATCATCCTAAGTATTTTGAGCTTCTCA